CGATCCATACTTAAACTGATGATCTGAACGAGACTCCCGAACCATCCAGACTCCCCGGACTCATTCGACTGAATTGGACTGGCAGCTCACTCGGAACCGACCAGTTACTCACTTGATTATGTTCAGCTCGGCTTGGCCGACGCACGAGTATTTAAAGGTGCCACGGTCGCAGACGCAGGGGCGTGCTTGGACCACGACTAATGAAAACAACGAGTTGACGGTAGACCGGACGAACTCGGTGCACGGGAACGCACTCGATGGCTCGACTCGGACTTGGTGCACGGGCATGCACTCAGTGGTTTTACTGGGGCTCGGTGCACGGGCACGCGCTCGATGGTTCGGCTCGGACTAGGTGCATGGGCACGCACTCGGTGGGTCGACTCCAACGGTCGGACGTGAATACGACACGTATGTAAGGAAAAGATACAGATTGAGGATACGTGCTAATGCACGTCAGTTGATTAATCACTGTCGCTTTGAGGCACTCGGCCTCGATAGCCTTCTTCGGCTCAGTTATGGTCTCGTTGGCGACCCATCGGCCGACCGAACACATCCCGACACCCAAGGGCTCATACATAAACTTATAACATCTGATATTGTTAACATGGAACTAGGGTTCGGGTGATTAAACTTGGATCTAGGAAAATCGCTCGGAGCTCAAAACCGAGCAAAACTAAGGTTCTAGTTCACCAGGAACCCTAAGTCATTTTAAGTTCAAATTTTAACCACATAATCCACAAAATATATATTGATTTATCATGCATAAACATCAGCTAAATCTCGACTTTAAGTATTTTCTAAAAATTCACCAAAACAAAGCATATTGCTCGATTTTTAAGGCATAACAAATGGTTTCCAAATACCACCAAATTTATATAGAAACTTCCTCATATTATACATTTTACTGGTTAAAATATCTCAACAAAATAACGTGTATAACTCATATTGCTCAAATATGCTCAAATGGATTTAGATTTGCACAATTTTGTTCGCATATCTATCATGCTCCAAAAATCACGAGATTTAAACTTCAACATCCAAGTGTTATATAACATGTTTGGGCAAAAGGTCACATCAAGATAAAGTCTTTAACATATTAAGCAAATATAAGCATAGATCCATAATATTTGTTCACATAGAAAACATATCACAAAAATACCTAAAATTGTACCTAAGCATGCACATAATATTTAAGATTTTTCCACAAAATTTCACATTAACCACTGATCTATAACATGGTGAACAAAATTTCTCTATTTAAACAATAGATCTCACAATTTTTTTAAAATAGCAAGTGAACTCCAAAATTATAAAATTTAAACCTCAACACATACTCAATATAACATGATTTATAAAATTAAAATCACGAATTTAGCACTTGTGAACAATAGGGTATGAAAATCAAGCAAATAAAGCATTAATATTTGGATCTCTCATTCTCACTTCCATTTCTATGAGTTAGTATTTTTAATACTTTAAAACACTTGTCTAAACCATATGTATAAGGGTTTCGCAAAAATCTACCTTTAGGCGCTTGAAAACGAAAATAGAAGTTGGGTAGAGCTAGTAGGGCCTTGGAAAGGGTTGATCTAGGGTGTTGGGCTCGGAGCAGGGCTGGGGTGCACGGGATCTGGTACGTGAGGGCGGATCTGAGACGGTTGGTGCACGTTAGTGCGGATCTGGGCACGGGTGCGTGGGATCAAGACGTTGGGCACGCGGGAAGGCTGGCAGGTGGGCGCTGGGACGGCGTCTGGCGCGGGAGCGTGCGCCTGGGAGTAGTGTTGGTCGCTAAGAGCGCGCGTGCGGCCTGAGGACATGCTGGACGTGAGCTGGGCATGCTGTTGCTGACCTTATGGTGCTGGGAGCTGTCGGGGGTGCGTGGCTAGGGCTCGGGTGAGCTAAGGATCCATTTTCATGATGTCTAGGCTAAGGCATTTTGTAGCTATAATATTTTTGGTCTTACAGGATATTTAAGAGAGTGTAGGATGTTGGGAAGTCGAAGAAGAGAAATGGAATGAGGATGAGTGAAGAGTATATATATATATACTAAGTGGAAAATTAGGGTTAGGGGACACAAGTACAAAAGCATTTTATCTTTGTCCCCTAAATTATAGTATGGTAGTTGGGTTGTTTGACTTATTCAAATTTGCATTGTTGACCAAGACTTGTGTTGGACCATTTTAATTAAAAATGACTTGGGCTTCATAAGAGATGTAGGAACTTAAAATAAATTGGAGTAAAATATAATTGGGCTTGAGAAAAAAGAAATAGAAATAGGACTTGGGCCATAGATTGGGATAAAATACATTGGCTAAAATATACGACTTGGGCTAAATGGGAAAAATAAACTAGAGCTCGATTAAAAATTCTAAAATTCAAAACTTGGACTAAATATTGAACCGAAAAATATTATGAACTTGGGTTTAAGGATATTGGCTCGGATTTTATTCACGGCCTTGGGTCGGTTCGATTTTAAAGGCTCAGCCATTCAGGTCGAGCTTCGGTTCGGCTCCGAAATTCATTAAATTCTGGACTTCTTCTAATATTCGATTATAAATCAAGATTTAGATTTAAAATTCTACTTTGTTTCTGAAATAAAATTCGATCGATTAACCTATGGCTTAGACTTAGAAATTAATTAATTATGCAATCAATACTAAATAAAGACGGCATAATTATGAACTTGCTATTTCTGGAAAATAAAGTCGGGCCAATATATATAAAATTGGGTCGGGGCTTACAATGGTTCGAAAACTGTCTAAGACGAATCAAATTCTAAATGAACAGCTAACCTCTACCTTTTCTCTTCAAAAGGACAAAGAACTAAATGCAGCAGAAGCTCGCACTTCCATTCTAGAAAATGGCATCAAAGTGTCCAAGCAAGATATGGTTGAAAAGTCTCAACCCATTAAGTAGCTGAGATCTGAATTGTTCTCCATTCGAAAACTACGTGATGAAAGGAACAAGGAAAATACCAAGCTCAAAAATAAGGTTAATCAGTTCATGAACGAATATGTTAATCTACAAGGAAAACTGAGTGCAAGCTCTACACAACTTGAACGAACCACTGAAGTTGTGAGGAAAATGAACAAAGTGAAGGTAGACTTGAGTGAACTTCTCTCAATGAGAAGGCAGCATGGGGACCTTGCAGGGCTGGGATATTCAGCCAATTCTGACAACTCTGAAAGTTTGTCGGAACAATCAACCAAAAGGAATCATTCAAGACTTGGATTATCGAACAAGCCAGGTATTGAAGAAGTTAGCCTACATGGGAAACCCTCACTTAATCTCTACAACAGGTTTGTTAAAATAACTGTAAGTAAAACTACTTCATCTAAAGAGAACGTAAAGGTTCATGTCCTAGTCAGTGAGTCTAGGAGCAAATCATCACGAAATTTCATTCCCATTTGTCATTAATGTGGTAAAAGTGGTCACATCAGACCTAAGTGTTACAAAATACAACATGATCGTTTTACTGGAAGAGTGTCCAACTGGAACTACTCTAGAATACCAGTGAAGGTTCATAGGCCCAGTTTTCAAAGGAAGATTTTGAAAGACTGGCAAGTATAGATTTCAAAGAATACACTTAATTTTTTTGCATCAATCTTATCACTCAAATCCTCACTCAAAGGAAAATGGTACCTGGACAGTGGGTGTTCCAGGCATATGACTAGTGAATTTACTTACTTGTCAGATGTAAGAACTGGATCTAACGGTGAAGTAACATTAGAGGATGGTGTAAGCAATAAGGTAATAGGGACTGGGTGCTTGAATCTAGGTGGGCTTCCTAAGTTGAATGATGTTTTACTTGTGCATGATTTAAAAGCTAATCACTCGACTGTAAGCCAACTTTGTGATCAAGGTCTTAGTGTTAGCTTTTCACGTGATAAGTGTTTTGTGATGACAATGAAGGTACGTGGGTGATTTCTGGATCTCGGTCAACTAGTAATTGTTATATTTTTGGTTTTGGTAGAAAATGTTTTCAAGCAATTACTAGTGAATCCAAAAGCTGGCAATACTTGGGTCATATTGGATACTCTCACTTGGTCAAGTTGTCTAATGCAAGTGTGGTCCGCGGGGTTACCAAAATTACTATGAAGGAACATTCGATCGGCGAACTCTGCCAACCGGGTAAACAAACTCGGACTTCTCATAAAGTACTGAACCACATTGAATCAAAGCAATTTTGGAATTGCTTCACATGGATCTGATGGGTCCAATTCAGGTTGAAAGCTACCAAGGTGAAAAATATATTTTGTGTGTGTAGATGAT